ATTAAGGGCGCCCACTAATCGGAGTACCGTTGCAGCCGCATGAAGAAGCGCGTAGACAAAAGGTGCCGCGCGACAGAAAAAAAGTCCTAATTACTGAATTTCTAAATGCGAAAAAGCAAAAAGCACAAATTCCGGAAGGGAAGTCCGAAATTCTGAGAGCCATCGGGGCTCGATAAAATTCGAAAAAGAGTCAAAAGAAAATTCAAAAGAACAAAGCAATTTCCCGCGCGATGTCCGCGCCCAAAAGATCGAACCCGAAATGAAAGAAACGACGTCAACATTTATTAATCGCGTGCGTGGTGGCGCGCCAGACATCCATCCGACCAATCAATCAACCGGCCATCCCAGGACACACCCAACTCCGAACCCAATCATCCGACAAGAAGCGACGAAAAAGATAAAAAGCAAGGGTACTGATGCAATTTTCCACCGATCCCGATCTCCCGTAATTGGCCCAACCTTCCCAGCCCAGGACCCCTCGTTGCAATCCGCGCAGAAAATCGCGCGTTACAGAAAGTGGTTCGTCACAAGGCTGGGGTTACATGGCCCAAGCCATTCGGTCCGCCATCATGTGGGTAATATGGGAAGATAGGAACAACATCCGGTTCAAGAATGAGTGGACGTAAGATCAAGGGATCAAAGTCAAACTGAAGTACCTGATTCGAACCATGATCTGTGCAGATTGGGTACGGAAGGGGGACTGTGGCCGAACACCAACAGGCAGGAACTGGTTCCTGTTTACTTGGGCCCGGGGGAATCAGTTAGCAGGAGTCACCTTGAAAGGGAAACTGGTCCTGGCACCCTGGTTGCAGGCTTGAGAATGGTAAGTGGGCCAGTATTTGTAGGGGATAGTTAGGGGATGGTTAGTTGGTAGACTAGGAATGGATTGGAGTCAATGGGGATGGGGAGTGGGGTTGTTGGGGGAATGGTTTTACCTAGCCCCTGGGTTTCAGCCCTGAGAACGGGGCATCAGGTGGAGAGGTAGTAGTTTTAAGCTGAACCAGGTTAGGTTCGGGGAGTTTGCTATTAGGCCTCTGAGTTGTAGGTAGGTTGGTAGGTATAGGAGTAGGCACTGATAGGCATAGGAGCACTAAGGCTAAACAGTGGGTTTTTAGTCACGTAGGATTCTTTGGCTCTCTGTTGATTGAAGGTTGTGTTGTTAATGTGTTCCTCGGGTCCGACTGGTCCCGTCAAAAGCGAAACCGGTTGACGCTGCCGGGATAACTCCGGGTTGAATTGTGAGGTCCCCGGCCTCGAGACAAATGTGTTCTTTTTGAATATAAATGAGTGTGATTTCGGAAAAAAAAAAAAAAAAAAAAAAAAAAAAAAAAAAAAAAAAAAAGCCTTGGAAAAAAAAAAAAAAAAAAAAAAAAAAAAAAAAAAAAAAAAAAAAAAAAAAAGGCGAAAGGACCAGGAAACTTACCAAAAAAAAAAGAAAAAGAAAACCTTACCTGGTAAAAACTGCGACCGCGAACATACATTGTCATTGAACTAGCAAAGAGGATTGGATTTAACGCTTGAATCTGCCCTTGTTTGTCGAAGGGTGCAGAAAATCGCAGTTCAACTGCTTTCCTGCATTTCAGCGTAACGGATGTTCGTATTCAGGAGATCTCGCCTAAATTTTGACAAGCAGCAGTTCCTGAACCGCGACCATTATGTCCTTTTTTGGACCTTTTCGAGTCAACCCTCTCACAAGATCACGGAAAAACAATCAACCGGGGGCCAAGTCCCACTAGCGGTGGGAAAACTATAGGAATGAGGACAGTTCGTGTGTGTGACACTCTTTTCAGCCGCAGACAGGAAAGGGATCGGACGGTCCTAATTTTGTCGCCATGCAAATAATAGGAAGGCAGATCTTTCTCATCCTCTCATTGGCCACCAACTGTGCTATGGTAGGTGGTCTTTTTTTTTTTTTTATTACACTATGGGACTCGTTAGACACTCCTAAAAGAATCCTAAAATTTTTAGGACGAGTCCTAAAGGTTTTTTAGGATTTCGTGCGGCGTCGTTACACGCAGTCCTAAAAATCATCTTTTAGGACTCGTCCTAAAAGGTTCCCCGCGGCCCGTTTTCATACGCGTATATGCAGCCGTGCCGCCGATGTCCGTCCATTCCTCGGCGGTGTCCGTGGTACAGAATGCGGTGGGCCTTGGGCGGGAGTCGACGGATCGGTGAAAAGCGCGGTTCCCCAGAACTTCAAATTTTTGAATTCGAATTCTCGCGGACGTGTGCGCCGTGAAAACTAAGGTGCCTCCCTGCCGACGCGTGTGACCTGAAAAAGACGGCGCCTCCCTGCCGTTCGCCACGCGGAATCCATCTTTCGGAGTGTACGCAACTTGCGAGGATCGTGCGCATGATCGTGTGAGCCGCACATTCGCGTCCGGCGTGCGTACCGTCCTTTAGTAGTGGAGCAGCGGATGCGTGTTCGTCTCCTGTGTCACGGTACAGCAGCGTTGGCATCTTGGACTCCGGCGTGCTTTGTCTACGACGGCAGGGTTCCGCAGAGGGCGTGTCTGAGGCGGCTGTCGAAGGCGTGACTTGGCAAACCGTGTGAGGATTGGCAGAGATGGACAGTCACGGCTCCTCAAACGGTCTACGCGAAGAAGAGATCGACGCCGTGGCAATGGCGGTGATTGCCGTCGTCGTGAACACGATGGCCGACAAGGAGTCCTCGTCGTGCAACATGCTGATGCGGCTCCGGCAACGAAGAGCGTTGTTGCAGAGCGTTGCAGAGGCGCCGGATTGCGCGGCGACGTGTGAGGCAGTCGTCCAGTTGTGTGTCGCGCTGACGTCTGGTGTTTTTCCACGGCTGACTCCGCGATGGTGGATTAAACGACGAACTGGCGGGACATGGGAGGACCTCCGGCTTCGGGACGACGCGACAGACGAGTACTTCAGGCAGAAGCTGCGCATGTCGACGACCATGTTCAACCACATCGTTGCCGCGTGCGCCGCGTACATGGAGAAGAAGGTGACGCACTATCGAATGCCATTGCCAGTGGAGCAGCTGATTGCTTTCGCGTTATACAGGTGGGTGTCCGGAGAGACGTACGAGAGCGGCACGTCAGCATTTGGCATCGGGAGGGCAACTGGACTGCAGGCCTTCCGCGACGTCATTTCGGCGCTGCTGCAGGCGTACCCCGACGCGATAAAGTGGCCAATGGGCAGGAGACGTGCGCAGATTCTGCGCGCTTTCCGTGAGAAGGGTTTCCCAAACTGCTTCGGCGCTATCGACTGTACACACATCTACATTGACAAGCCCGCCGGCGCACCTTCCGAGAACTACTACGACCGCAAACAGAAGTTCTTCGTGCAGGCGCAGGTGGTTGTGGATTTGGATTTGCGGATCCTCGACGTCCACGTGGGATACCCTGGAAGTGTGCACGGCGTCCGTGTTCTGCACAATTCCCAGTTGTTTAGGCGTGCAGAAAGTGGCGAGCTGTTCGACGCAACTCCGGAGAATTTGCCGCACTATGTCGTCACGCGAGGCTACCTGTTGGGCGACAACGGTTATCCAGTTGCCTGTCCGTGGATTGTGTCACCGTATGGAGGAATCGACCAAGGTGCTGACGAGGAGCGCTTCGACACGCGGCAAAAGGTGGCACGGGGGTGTGTGGAGAGAGCATTCGGCCGACTGAAGTGCATGTGGCGTCTGTTCTTGCGCACCCATAAGACGAACCTAGAGACCTTGCCACAGCAATTCGTGGTTGTCTGCACTCTCCACAATATCCTCCTGGACACGGGGATGGACTTCGACGAGAACCTTCTGTGAGAGGTGGATGCGAACGGCGTTCGGCGTAGAGTGGACTTGGGCATTGTGGGGAACGGCGCACGAGGGCGGGGACGGTGCACAAACGTGGAAGGTGAATTGTTGAGGGATGCACTGCGAGACCGCCTAGCTTTGATGTAGGACCGTGCGGTAGGGAGGTGGTGCAGACGGGGTGGTTCGATCGGTAGGCGGCAAGAGTTATTACGTGGTCCATGTCCATGGTCGTCGTGCGTGTGGTTTGTTGGTTGTTCGATCGGCGTCATGATTGTCGTCGACGAGTTCACATTATCGTTTTCATGTTGTTGATGGCTACCTGGTTCGCACAGTTGTGCGAAGTTTAAAGACTGGAAGAACCTTTTTTTTTGGCAGTGTGTGTCGTCGTCGTTGGGACTTTTTGTCTTTTATATATTGTTCCTGTCTTGAAATCGTTTGTGATGAATGGTGTCGCGCGATGGGAAACATGGTTGTTGTTGTTGTTGTTGTTGTTGTTGTTTTTCTTTTTTTTCTATCCATCTGTCGAAATGTTGTTTATCTTTATCGTTTTTTGGTGCATATCTTCATTTCAGTTTCCATGACCGGTTTCGTGTGCTGTTGTGGTGGTATGACATGTGCAACATGCTTCTGTACGATCCTGTCATCCATTCTCTCAATCAGTGATCAACGCATGTCTGTTGCATGTCGTGAAGCGAATACGAAGAACAAGAACAAGTGCAACGCAGACAAGGACAGTGCATGACACGCACGACATTTGTGTCCCACAAAAGACATGACGACATTCATGACACCGACATATGACAGAGTCGTTAGAGTTGTCACACGCATCGCAAAAAAAACAACAACAATTAACCGCCACGCGCTTCAAATCGTCCGAGACAACGAGGAGCACCATGCATTGATAAAACAACCACGTGCGCTGAACGCGGAAATAAAAAGAAAAGAAAAACAAAACAAAAAAACGAAAAATAAAGGTGCAAACCTTTCATCCCGTGCTGGCGCTACTGGCCGCACACTAAACACCTACGCCACCGTCGAAGATTCAGCCGAATCCCTCCGGCCAACACGCTAACCACCGAAACTACAATGACACAATCGAACTGAATCAACCCGTGCTTATGCCACGGGTGCCACAGTAAACCTGTGCACTATGATGAAGGAGGACTCTGGCGATCCCGGCCGCCGACACGCTAATCAGCTGCGCCACACACGATACTCCAATCACACGACAGCCCGTCACGTCTCGCCACGCGTACATACGCCTTCGTTCTTAGAAGCGTTGTCTCCCCGCTCTCCCCCCGCATAACAGCCCGCCTTATGCATCGCTTTTTCCTTCGCCTTTGATGTCATCATCGGCGGGGCCCGAACCCAACCAATCCAGCCTCTTCCCATCCTCCGGCCCCYTGATGGTCACGTCGTGCGCAAATCCGATGTCGCATGGTGCCCAATCAGGGATGTAGTTGAGGTACACTCCGAGCGTAGCTTTCACCTTCCCAAGCCTCTCCGTGACGACGTTCGCAGCGCGGATGACGGATCGTCGATGATCGAAGGACCGATGCATGGAGGCGATTAGTGTCGGCCTGACGAAGAGATCCGCAAAGTAAAATGCTTCATAGTGACTGCGCAGATCGTCTCCTGCCATGCGCATAATCCACATGGACGCCGCCAGCAACAGCCTGAAGCAGTCAGCCACCCGACATAGACGCTCGTAGGAGATGAAATCGCCGTCGATGTGAGTGCCCATTTGCACCGCCGCGCGGAACGAATGCGCGATGCTGATGACGGTGGACTCCTGGTACGCAGCCATGTCGTCGTCCTCAGGTCTGTCCTCGATATTCGCACCAGCGTACCACAGTGGAAGGTCCACGTTAAGATCTATCATGTGGGCGCAGATCGGCGCGCTGACGACGTTGCACCACTCCTCGCCGTACCACATTGCACGCGCAATGTCCGTCACTACGGACTCCAACGAGTACTGGAAAGCAAGGTGGTACCCCCTTGGGCGGTTCCTGGACTTGAAAACCGAGCCGTGCAAGATGCGGAGAGCTATATTCTCCACCGCCGCCGCACGGGAGATCGCTTGCTGGAGATGTGATTGGTTTGCGATCCTCGCCACCCTTGTGCTGGATTTGGGGACGACAACGCTCAGCGGAAGTTCAGGTGGCGGAAGGCTGCTGGCGATGGCGACAAAGTACTCTTTGGTTTCGTCGACGATGTTGTAAAGTCTGCGTCCCTCACCCGTCGTCCAGAAACATTTGTCATCCACCCAAAGAAGCGCACGGTTGATAAGGTCTTTCGTAATGACTCCCTTGCGTGCCCGGCTTGAAGCGCCCTCACCTCCATCCCGTTGGTTCGTGTTCTGTCCACGACCCTCCTCTCTCACCGTCGTCGGAATTGCAGCCTCCTCTTTCGCCGCCGGAACGGGAGGGACAACACCTGCAACAGCCACACCCACGCCACCTGCCGCCTCACCCCCTGCTGCACGCGCGTCTGCCACGACTCCCCGCCACCACCTCGTTGGCGAGACGCACCGTCACCACCGTCGTTGCGCTGACGCGGCTGAGACGGCGTGCAGGGCAGTGCACCTGTGATCGGCCTTTCGTCCTCCGCTGCGCGAGCCGTCGACACCGCCATTGTGGTCGCTTGTGTGGCACTGCGCAGGCGACGTTTTTCCAAAGGCTCGTCGTCTTCGCCGCCAAGGTCCACCACAGCACCCTTCTCTTTCCACGTTTCGCGGACTCGCAGCTGCTGCGCCTCCGGCGGAGGGGTTGACATCCTCTTCGAAGTGCTCTGATCCAGAGTACGCTGCCTGGCACCCTCCCGTCCTGCAGACGTCGTCGCCTCGCCTTGATCGTCCTCCGTCATGAAATCATCGTCGTAGACCTCTTCCGCGGCCTGCGCCCAACCTCGCGCCCCACGACGCGGCGCGTTTGCTGACGCGTCATCCAAACGTAGCCTCTTCGCCTTCGAGACGTGCCGCCGACCTTTCCCCTGCGCTTGGGTTTCGTCAAGCGCGACGTTGCGCTTCTTGCCACGGTGTCAGGCGGCCACAAGTAGTGCGCCGCCTGAAAACGACAGTTTAGGGGTTTAGGCTCAGGGTTAAGTCCGCGTTTTGACAGTGCCTTGGGATGACCGGGCTGCAGGGATTATGAGTACTCAGGGTACCCCTGATTCTGGGCGCACTGGATTTTAAGAGTGACCCCCAAAGACAGCAAGATGGATGGGTGCACTGAGCACAACTAGAGACCGTCATTTCCGGTCGCTCAGAGGACTGGGACTGTTTTGGCCTGCCGCGGAGAGGGATCGCGGAAACAGACCTCGCCGCGGCATTTTGACGGCATACAACCGGGGCCGAAATGAGGCCTCGGATTTTTGTCTTTTTAAACATC